GCAGTTTTTCACTCACAATTCACAGCAACAAAACTTATATGCGTAAGACAAAATTACCTTAGATTGTTTAAATAACAAATCGAACTAATCAGCAGAAGCAGAAGAGATAAAATAATTTAGAATTTCTTTTTCTTTTTTTTTGATACTTCCGTTTTTGTATGATATAAAAATTCTGTTGTTTAATCAATTACCAATTTTTTTTTTTTGTAGCTATACAGCTGAAATGAAAAGAAAAAATGAAGCAAAACATAGCAAAAAAAGAAGAAGAAATTGAAGAGAAAAAAGATCTGCTGATAAAGAAAAGGAAAAAAAAGGAATCTTTTTTTTCGTAAGTTAAAAATAGAGTCAATGGAAGGTAAATGGAATGTAATATGAAATAAACAGAAAAAGGAAACATTGGAGTGATTTGAGTGGAAGAATGAAATGGTGATTTTTTTAAAGGAGCCTAAAAGAAAATATATTTTCGTTCTTTGACAACTGTTAAAGGATTGCCTTTTCCCACCGTCCAACCAATTTCCTCTTCATCCCCTCTTTCCCCTCTCCTTCCTCTCTTCTCCCCTTCCCCACCTCCTCCTTCCCCTTCCCAAACCAAATAGGCAAAATATATGGTGCTGAAAAAAAAATTTTTTTTTTGATCAACTGTCACCAGTTTGTCAGAGTTTGTCAGTTTCTCTGTTTGTTCATCTGTTTATATGTTTGTTTGTTTGTTCGTTCAAACAAACCTCAATCTGAAACCGCATCGACAGATGAAACTGACGAGAGAGGAAAAAAAATCTGTGTTTTTTCTGTTCACTGATACCGTTTTTTATGGTAAAGCAAAAGAAAAAATTTAGTTTTTTATGTCTTTCTTTTTCTTTTTATATGTATATAAATATATATTCCTTTTTTTTGGCTAAATAGAAGGTAGAACTTTTTTTGCTCTCTTCTTCCTCCTTTACTTTTTTTTGTTATTTGCCCATTCCATTCAACAAACTTTTTTTGTTGCCTTATCAACCAAATGCCTGTAAAAGAGAAAAGGGGAAAAAAAAAACGCAACATGGATCATTTTTTCTGTGTCACATAGACACACATTATGCTGTTTAGCGGCGATACGAGGACGAAGACGACGACGAAGACGAAAGTGAAGGCGACACAGCCCCAGCAACATAAACGTACCGACACGTAGAAAGAGAAATAAATTGCTTAAGTAAGCAACAACCCGAACTTAACGTTACGTCTGTTGTCCAACTGACGACACCATTCAACTGTTGCCTTCTTGTAAACGCTATTTTTTTTGTTTACTTCTTCATCGCCTATATTTATTTATTCAACCACATGCTACACTTCATTTGTTCTTTTTTTTTTGACACCACAAACAACTTGTAATCGTTGTTTTTCTGATTAATTCTGGAAAATCTTTTACACCACTTATCAGTGAGGCTGTAATTTTTGAATGCAGGCATGATGAATGATGACACAACGCAACAGACACATGAGACTGGTAAGTGCAGTTTCTTAGCTTTCTTTTCTTAGCTCTCATCGCCTCAGTATCTTTCAGTATGTTTCTATGGACCTCTGAAGTGTCATTAAAATAGCTTTTTGACCTTTGCGTTACGTTTATTAAATAGGGGTTTGCATACAGCGTTGATATCGGAAATGTAAAGTTGTAACGCAGGCGGAACGAACAGAAGTAACAATGTTGCCAACAACAGTTTCAGATATACTTCAGTATTTGCATGCGTTAATGTATTAGTATAATTTAAACTTCAAATCATCTAGTTTTTAAATCAGGTGTAAATAACTGTATATCTGTAATGTTTTTTTTTTAAAGACGAAACTAAAAATGAACTATTGTTGGTTTAGTCATACTTTGTTAACTGTTTGCAAAAGGAACACCAAAGTAACTGCTTTTACCTTCATGTCCCTATAAATTTCACATCTTTATTTTTCACAGTTCTTTGACGCTAATATATCGCAGTTCATTATTTTTCAGCTTTTCCTCAGACACAACGACAGTAACAGTGTTGTGTCATTGAAATTTATAAATTGCTTCCAATTATGACTTATATAACATCGATAATTGCTTGTGAAAAATGAAAATCTTGATGTGCATCCCTTTCTTCCGCAAATAAATCACTGACATTCAGTTGGCATCGTTATTTGAATGGCCAATTAGATGCAAAAATTACAGGAATGAAAAATGTCATGGAAAGTTTTAGAACAGTGTAAGACGTAGGCGACCCAAAGCCAACAAATTTTCAAAATATTTTAAAAGTTAGAGTTCATAGTGAAGAAAAAGATAAAAATTTAATTATGCAAAAACTGACCTCACAAATTTACACGCTTTATATGATGGCTAACAACAATAAAAGCATCAGTAAACAGAGCATCCAATCGTTTCTTCTCAGCCTTTCCAACCTCATTTCTCCTCTTCCCTTAATTCCCTTCACCCAAAAAAATTATTCTTTTAAATAACCAATTTTTTTTTTCGCTGAACAACAACGTTTTCTTTGTTTCCTAAACCGCTCTCTGAATTCGATATCTTTTGTTTATCAAAAAAAAAAAAAAAACTTTTGTCAAAAAAGTGCTAAAGAACTTACTTCATTGTACAGTTGTTTTAAGATCATCAGAAGATACAGATCAGTTTTAATTGTGACACTTCAGCGAGGTTAATGGATGACTTAGACAAAATTTGAAAGCTGAAGTAAAAGAGCTGCAGCCGAAGTGACTGTAAACAGGCGAAAACGAAGAAGCGAAAATCTGTTCAGGTTTAAAGTAAACCGGATGCAGATGATCAAAACG